AATTTATAAGGTTGAGGACAAGATATATAAAATAATCTCTCATCTGACTGGTGCTTTTTGTTAATTGGATTTTTAAAAATAAAATAGCCATTTTTTTCGGTTTGTACCCTACTATAATATTATTTACACATACCTGGTGTGACCCCCCCCCCATCTTAAGAATACTTATCTCATTTTGATGTGCATCCTGCATAGCATTTTTCTCTTTCAACCCTTGTACAGTTGTTGTTTCTGGTTCAGCGCATGGAGCAAAGAAGCAAGAACCCGTGCTGGGAACGTTTCACTGCAAAAATAGCTTGCTGTGATTATCCTGATCTGGTTCCTTGCAGTCCTTTTTATCTCGTCTCAGTAATGGCCTAATAGTTGTCCCCATAATCCTGATTTATTCACTTGGCTACCTCTGCAAGATTCTTCCCCCAGTGTTCCAAAACACATGGTGACTTCATGAAATGGTGCCTCGTTTCCACAAGGTCATCTTGAGTGAGCCTATCTAGAGATGATGCAGTGCTGCAGTGCTACACAACTTCTTTTTTCTTTTTTTGCAAGCACTCCTTACCTCGTTTAATTTATAGCCCCACTCCCCTGACCTTGGCAGTTGGGAGGGGAGAGTCCTTCTGTACTAAGGCCAAAAGGGAAAAGAGGGTGAATGGAGGAAGAAGGTGGCATTTATTTTTGGCTGCACGTAGCCCTGGGCATCCATAAATGAGAATTTCTTTGCCTCAGTGATTCTACCAAGGACATATGTAATAGGTGGCTGTTTAGCTTGCTGACCTCCAAAACAGATGAAGGAGAGAGTGGGAAAAAGCCATAACGTTTGTCCAGCGCTCTGGAAAAGGGACTGACAACATGTGACCATAAATCAGATACATGTATACTTTCTAAAGCAGTTTGCTTAACAGCTTTGGATGGAAGGGGGGGGATTATGTAATAGCTGATGTAACAACATTCTAGGGTCTGTCTGTCTGTCTGGGAAATCTGAAATGTAACAGACTGACATGTGGTTGTTCTGTCAGTGGGGTGGGATCTGGATGAGATGTGTTTGAAGCAAATCTTGGCTTTACAAGGCTTCTTTTGTGCAGAGGTGGAATAGTCCAGTATTTCTGTTAGTACCCATTTCTAGTGTGGATAATATACAGGTAGTGAAGATGGTTTGAAAGTTGCATTTAATTCTGCATTTTCTAAAATTAGTTAGAGGAGTCAGATTGCAAATTTAATGTTTTCTCACTGCATCATTTCTGTGGTCAAAATCAGTCTCCCTTTCTCATGAAGCTTTGTGGGCAGAGGGTGATAGATTTTCAGGTATCTCAAATGACCTGCACGTGTGATATTAGTATAAGGTTAAACATTTTGTTCAGTCACTTATCATGTTACAGGGGCGTCATCATCTACAGGGGCATGGATACAACCATCTACATCTCTTGACGTTGATGGAAGAATGATTAGTTCATGCCAGACACCACCTCCCCCATTTATCTAGAAGCCTCATGTTTAGCCCTATGTATGAAAACTCAACCTCTAGTAAAAATGAGCCAGACAAACGTATTCAGGGCTGGTGATTCATCCTGAAGTGGAAATACAAGGTCACCAGTGAGCAGACTGAAAGGGATGGTGCCTTGTTGAATTCCTTGAATTCAGCTCAATTTGAACGAGTCCAGATTCTTCTACAGCAGTTTCAGAACAAACTGTTGAAGCACGCAGTACCTGAAGCCTGCTTTCAGATTGCACAAATAGGAGTGACATTTTAGTGAGATGAAAATGTTAAGCATTTAGACAATACATTAGAAGAGTAGAAGAAAACAGAGCCGATCATCTCTGCCTAAATGTAGGTTATGCTGCATGGTTAAGAAGACAGCCTAGCGGACCTTGTTTCTCCACAGCATATGCCGCTGACTTGGTAGAGCTGGCCCCTGGGCTCTGGCGATCTCTGCCCTTGTCCTGTTCAACAAAGTTTGTGCACTGCCTCTAGGAGAAGTTAGGCAGAGAATTAAGAAGATTTGGGGATTGCCTGTAAGTGTTTGTATGTATGAAAATGCCAGGGAATGAATGCCATTGCTTTGGGAGGCCCCCAGAATGTTAGTAAACAAAAAGTTGTAGCTATGCAGATATTGACCATATTTGATAGTAGCAGGTAGCAGCACGAAGCTGTGCTTGGCTGTTCTCAGGGGGAAAAGAAGCTAAGCAGGATCAGACCTGGTTCGTACTTGAATGGGAACCAGGATACTGTATTCCAGACTATATGATACACAGGGAAGTTGGAAAAGCATCATGGAAAAAAGCAGCAGCAAATCACTTCTGAACTGTTGCCAAGAAAATTACATGGAACTAGATGTATAGCATATATGGGTCTCTTCCCTCCCCCTAGTTTATTCTCATAACAGTCCTATGAGTAGGTTAGGCTGAGAGAGGGAGACTGTCCCAAGGTCAATAATGAGCTTACTGTCTGAATAGGAGCTTAAATCCTGGTATCCCCAGCCCTTTTCTGTCAACAATTTTGACATTCAGCCTTGCATTCAGGGTCTTTGAAAGAATCCTAATGAGGAAATATTGCTCAGAAATATTTTACTGGCACCAGGTTTATGGGAAGCCTAAAAAAGGTATTGCATATACTGTATGTGTTTTATTGTGTATCTTGATTATTTAATTTCCAATCCAGATTATACTATTATAGAAAAGTTGCACTGAATACTTTTCATAATATCTCTCCAAACTAGGTTTCCTAAATGTCAAAGTCAAAAATTTTAGTGGGTATTCAAAGGCAATACCTTTATTAGACCAACTATAAGTTTGCGAAAATAGCATTTTAAATATCCAAGAAGTCTTCATGAGGCATGGTACTTTAAAAGCACACAAAAAAAATGTAGGGCTGTTTAAGCCATGTCTGCACCAGGATACAGAATTAGATGGATCACAAGAGCCGATTGTAGTCATGCATATTAGAACCCATTAAATATTGAAGCTCCCTAAGATTTGTTGAAAACTAAGGAAAGCCTAGATGGGTCTCTTCTCCCTTCTCCCAGTTTATTCTCATAACAACCCTGTGAGATGGTTTAGGCTGACTATGCCAAGGTCACTGGTGAGCTTATTGTTCCAGAAGACAAGAAAGAGAAGGAAAGAAAATAATTCTTAATCATTCATTTTTGGAAATAAAAAATCCAAATGTGTAAGTCAAAACTTTCCATTTGTAAGAAAGATGTACAGTTATATTGGAAATGGAGAATATACATTTGTATGCTCTTCAGTAAATCCTCCTATGGCCTAATAAAGGCGGTGCCTTTATACACATGCTGTACTGAGTTATTTTTCTCATGGTCAATGCAATCTTGCCTGTGGGGTTACCGGAATGCTTAGCTTAGCAGGTCAACATTGGAAGTGCTGTAAGATTCTGACTGCCCTGGCTAGCCAGAGATCAGTCTAAAATGCAGAGTGGCTGTTTGTGGGAAAAACAACATTAATGCCAATCATCTGGGTGAAGCAGCATATGGGAACATGTGGACAATCATAGGATGAAGGCAGTTTCTTTTTTTCTGACATACAAAAATATTTCTCTGTAATACATATGAGGAATTCTTAACTGAATTCTGCATACTCCGTGATTCCTATCTGCCTGTGAAGGATCATCAATTCTAAATACTGGAAGAGAGAAATTGGGATGGCGAGAAGCAATCATTATATCAAGGCAGTCACCAAATGGGTTCACAAATCATGATAACCCGTAGGCAAGGTTGCAAATTATGTGAACTCAGCTATTGTACGCTGTGATTTATGGATTTTAATGCAGAGGTTCTCAAACTTTCTCAACTCATGGTGCCCTTAGTGTCTCAGTAATGTTTTTCATGATGCTCCTAGATGTATGTGCAGTGTCCAACAGATGTCAAGTATTGCAGTGTTATTTTCCATCACTCCTGTGAGTTAACTGTGGCACCCTGGGGCACCATGGCACACAGTTTGGGAACCACAGGCTTAGTGTAACGTGTGGATCTAACCTATTAATATGTACAGATGTGGGAACCAAATGAGCTTAATGCCATTTACAAACCCGTTAACTGTGAGAGTAGCTGACTACTTGCCCTTGAAGCAGAAGACATAAGGGGCGTTCATTTTATAGATTCAGTCTGGTCCAATTAACTGTTAGCTTTGCAGATTTGAAACTTGGGTTCAAATGCCCGTTGCACTAATATCACTGGATTACATTTGAAATATACAATATCTTGACTCCAGCACTTTGTCTCATGGGATTCCTGTCATTGTGACAACACTGTAAAGCAGGGTTTCTCAACCTTGGCAACTTTAAGACGGGTGGACTTCAACTCCCAGAATTCCCCAGCCAGCAAGGCTG